GTGCGCTAGGGGCCCACCCTCAGGGAGCCACCAGGCAGGAAGCTAGCTAGCCGCGCCTTCAGTTCTTTCATCTGTGTATATTCCCAAGAGAATTAAAGACATCATCCTATAAATGATAGCTGCATACCCATATTTATACTGGTACAATTCACAATAGCTAAACACTGTAAACAGCCTAGATGCCCATCAGCAAACAAATGGATTAAAAATGTGCCATATATATGCTTATCATTCAGCCATAAATAAGACTGAAATTATGCCATTTGCAGGAAAATGGATGGGGCTTGAGATCATCATGCTAAATAAAATAAGCCAGACTCAGAAAGTTAAATATCACACATTTTCTTTTATATGAAAACTCTAAAATATAAGTAAATAAATGAATAAAACAAAAAAGAGATGACAGGAAATTAGAAGGTAGATTCTTAAGGCAGAGAAGGTGATTAGGAGGGAACAAAGGGAGAGGAGGTAAAGAAATTATAAATAAGTGAGACATGTTATGTGCATGTATCAGTTACCCAAAATAAGTATCACTATTCAGTATTGCCAACATGCAATAATAAGAAAAAGGAAAAGAGAAGCAAAAGAAGGATGAGGAGGAACCAGGGAATAGCGCTAGCAAGAGTGAACTTCCTTGCAGTCTTTCTGCATCTCAGGAGATTTTGCCCCACTCTGTTATTTTGTACAGTCTTTAGCTGGCCACTTCCTAAAGGCCCTTTGTCACTAGGAGGGAGCCTGCTCAGACTCCTCTGTCGGGCTGCTACCTTGCACTCAGGTGCACACCTGTGCATTTTGTCAGCTCTGACCTCTGTCCTGTGGCTTCACCTAACTGCTACTTTTCACCCTATAAAGGCTTCATGGACATTTGAGGAATTTCTCTTACTCCCCTGCACTCGCCCCCCAGACCTTAGAATAGATTTAGCAAATGACTAGCGCTTTCCTTGCAATTCTAAGCCTTCATGCCTGTCTTTGTCTGTTAAAAATTGATTTCAAAACTTTCCTCCTTCCTTTTTGTCTTTTCCATGGTCTAGTTGGTTCCATTCTGCCACAAATTCAAGGATAAATGAAGCCATGGGTCTCTTCTCTTGAACAAAAGGTTGACCCATATCTGGAATTTAGTTTCCTTAGATTCCTTGGCATCCTCAGCTTGTTGATGAATTTTTACAAATTATTGGTTTTGCATCTTCTCTAATGTGTTTTAGTAACTGTGTCCAACTGAAAGCAGAAGGCCTTATTCTTTTTTAAAATATTATTTATTGTTTTGTTAATGTTCTGTCAATAAAATATTTTGAAATATATATAAAATATTTGAATAACACAGAAAATATATAATGAGGGAGGAATAACTCCCAAATTCTTACCAACCAAAAGAAAGACTGTTAGTATATCATGTTTTCTTTTCACTGTTTCTAGGTATTATTTTCTATTGTTTTAAGAATCTTCATTCTCAATTTATATACAAGTTTATTACCTGATTTTTTAGTTAACTGATAGACAAAAGAATTTTCCAAAGTTGCAAAATTGTTCATATATATATTTTCATATATATATTTGACCTTACTTAACCAATTCTCCATTATAATTTTAAGTTCCTCAAAATATTCATCATCATAATTAATTATTCAATAAACACTTTTTCCATTGAATTTCCCCATTCCAAATCCTTATGCTCAATCTTGGAAGTAAAATTATAAAATCAAAGTGTATGACCACTTTTCAATTTTTAAAATATATATTGCTAAATTGCATTCCAAAAGGGTATAGGGCTGTAAGACATGAGGTATGTTATATGGTAATTTCTATGTTATGCTACTGTTTTAAATATCATATTCTAAAAGCATCAGTCACCCTGTGTTCTATTATTAGAGTGATTTCCCTTCTTTTTAGTAAAAATAGTCACTTTATTTGTTCACATCAATGATACTGAAATTATTTAGAGAAAAAATCATAGGTTCTTTAAAATCTTAGTCTTGTTACTCCAATAAAGATGTGGTATTTATTCTTTTTTTAAATTATGTGGCATTTATTCTGAATACACACTTGTTTAACTTTTTATTTCTCCTTTCTTATAAAAAAGTTCATTTAACCATTAATAATTTATGTCTTATGAATAAACAATTTTATTTTGCCCTAGAGTGTATCAAGCCTTCTAATTCTCTTACTAGCAGATATTTACTCTTCTGAGTCTTCTCAAATTATTCCTTAAGGGTTATAAATCATAGAAAATCCTCTTTGTATTTCCACATACGAAGGTAAAATTAGTTTATGATAACAAAATTCTTCAAATTTAGTTAACTTCTAAATTACTATTATGTGAAACAATGTATATCTTGGATTTATTAACCATTCTTAATTGTTTTAACTCTTGGAATACATTGTAGACACAAAGAATGGTTATAAATTTAAAATTCTGCATAAGTAAAACTATGATTTAATTTAATGGCCATTCAAAAGCTGTGAAAAACTTGCATTTGATATCCTTTAATTTACAACTAGTGATCATCACAAAGTAAATATCAGGGAATGTTTATTTCTGTAAAGGAGATTGAAATTATTTTTGAAGCATTCTACATTTTTTGAATGCTGGCATTAATTGCCACACAGAGTATAAAACATCCCACACAATTTTATCTGAGAACTTTCCACACAAATTATGAAGAACAAAACAAAAGCTGACAGGAAGTAGAAAGACAGACCTTCCTTAAATGGGAAGGAGATTGAGGGATGGAGGAAAGGGAGAGAAAGAAAGAAGGAATGCAGATGTGCTCTGCACAGTACCCACTCCACACAAGGAATGGAAACATTATGCTAATAAAAATTAAAAATTAAACTTTTTAAAATATGAAGCTTTTTAGCAAATTACTAAATACCTCTTTGAGGTGGTATGGTTGCATTTTGTGTTCAAAAAGAGGAAAGTTCTGAGCCTGTGAATTTGAACAAAGACACGTTCGACTCACTCCTCTCATTACTGTTCTTCCTCCTACTTGCTGCAAAAAGCAGGCAGAAAAATGTGTCTCATGTCAAGAGAGCTTATGTACGATGGGCTGTTTTCAGAGTCCACATAGAAATTATTTACACAGCAACATATTCATCCCTAGTATCAGATGCCTATATCTCCAAGCATCTTTCCTCACAAGGTCAAAAGAATATGAATTTAAGTATGACTTTTAAACTACCAAATATAACTTAAAACTAACACTGTAGAAGTTTTCAAAGTTTATAGCACCTGCCTGGCTAGCACGAGGTCCTGAGTTCGATTCCTGGTACCAAAGAAAAGAAGTTTTCAATGTTTATGTGTTATTGCCACATTGCAAAGAGAACTGCAGTGAAATCGGGACACTAGGACTCTGCTGGTGCCATTAGCAAGCTCTGTCACTTTAACCAACAATCACTGCCCCTCAGTTGACTTACCTCTGTGAAATGAAGCTATTGTGCTAGAAAACTTATATGATGCACCTTGTTCCTCCTCAATTCTACAACTAATATTTCACATATAAATAAAGTCACCTACTGGCAGATCTAGTGAAATAAAAAACCCTCTAAAGGGAAAATGTCCTCCAGGAATATAGAGTAACATGAGATGTACCCATCCACTGGTAACTAAGAGTGAGTCATAAAACATGTTGCTGAATATATATATAATGTAAACATAACCCACTGTAACAAAGTACACATACACACACATGTGCATACATATATAAGTATACGTGTGTGTATCCTAACCCTAACCTAAGGAAAATATCAGAATGGTTCAAATGTATCTGAAAGTACCCCAGCCTTGCTTTTAACTTTTATGATCTTTGTGTCACAGGAAAAGTTTTTAACATATTATGGTTGATAATCAAGAAATGCAAAAAAAATGCAAAAATAAGAAATGCATAAAAACATTATTCTGCTTTCCCTTAGCAATTCAAAAATACCCCCAAAAAATGTTATTACCTTTCCTGTGCTGATATCTGGCTGCGGAAAACAGTCAGAATAATTAGCCCGTGTTTTATTCAAACTGCGAATAAAATCCCAAGTTCCATTGAGAGTGCAATGTCGGAAAGCAACGCCTGTAAAGACATGAATGATGAAGAGACAGCTCAGTTCCTTTTGAGAGTCTTTTACCCAAAAAAAGACAAATTTCTGTTTCAAATTAATCATTTCATAAAATTCAATACCTTTATGATTGAAGTCATAGATATAAGAAGGGCATGGGACAGCCGATATTTTCCCCAATGTTCCTCTGGGCCAACAGATGAGTCCATCCCATTCCGGGGAACAGTTGCCCTCTGATGAGAAAAAAATTAAAAAGCAAATAAAGAAAAATGAGCAGACAATAGCGAACAATACGGAAAAACAGAGAACAAATGTTTTCAAAATTTGGGGTCACTGTGGCAAAATGTAAAACAAACTGGTAATTTTGGAAACTAGAATGGTGTGAGTAGGATGCAAATGTCACAAAATTTATTTGCCTTGCCTCTTCAGAGGTCAGCTAGTAGGAGCCTTTGATTAGCAAAATGGAAATGTTCAAATTACCTCAGTGGTTCGGTTATAGCAGTTAGTATATAAGAAGCATTGGAAGCCACTATGAACAGTCCAAATGTCATAGTAGTAGCTACATTTTCACCAGAGATTTTTAAAAACTGCTGTTGAAGAACATGGCACACAAAACAGATTCAAGATCCTGAATTTTTTTTACCAATAATTTCAGTAATGTCTTGGAGTCTAACACTTATCTCAAACAGAAGTCTCACAAGTCTCTATTCTCCGCATGAATCCGAGCCCATTATTCTTACACCCCCCACAGCCACTGGGGTAGCCCATCTCCACCACATGTCGCAGCAGAATTACTGCAGGGGTTTCCAGACGGTCTTCCTGATGCTATTCTGCTCTCTCTTTGCAGGACCATTCTGTAGGTGGCACTGGAGCCACGCAGCTCTCATAGCTCCATTGGCTTGTAGTCCTTGAGGTTAACTGTAGGATATGCTGGAATTATTCACAACATCCTGAGACAAGGGGAGAAAGTGGCTAGAACAGACTGTGCTCTGTTCCCGTCCCTCCCAGGAATGAGAGGTGCTTCAGCACCTTAGCCCTATGCATCATGCGCTCCTGGGGGTTTATAGCGCAGGGTGGGCGGTCTTCTGGAGCAAGTCTGCTGCACTATAAATAAGGCATGTGCAATGGGCTCCATCTACCCCAGCAGCTTTCTTGAGCCCAGGAGATCTTCTCACAATGAATCCTAACTTCTGTTGTTCCTGCTTCCTATCTATAATTAATAAACCCCCTGTGTGTAATTTGTTGTTTACATGGGTACTCTGCTTCTCCCAACTGACACAAGTTGGTTACCAATGATGCTGTCTCATTTCTTCTTAATCCAATAGCCCCAAGTCCATCACAAATTCCCATCAATCTCTGAGCAAAAGCCTAAGTCTCTGGCAATGTGCAAGTGTTGAGGATCTGCTGTCTCCCCCAGGAGTTCTCACTGACCTGAGCTTCTGCTCTGGCTCTTATGGCTACAACTCTGCCTGCTCTTCCTAGATCTAAGGGTTGGTCTCCAGTCACCTCAACACTTTCTTCTTTACCTGCCTCATACTTTTACTCAAATGTCGACTTCTGAGTAACTCTATTCAAAATTGCATCTTGAAACACTCCCTACCACCTTTTCCTACTATTTATTTCTTCTAAGTGCTCGTCACTTTGCAGTACTGTGTATTGTTTTCTTAAATTATATGGCTTAAGAACCTTGAGAGCAGAGCTTTTTGGCTATTTTTGTTTTGTATGTCAGCTAAGTTCCTGGAATAGCTCTTGGCATGTAGTGTGGCTTTGAAATATTCAGTGTTGATGTTCTCTGCTCTTCAGACCTCTTTCTATTAGTTACAGATTAAACTTTCCAGAAAATTCAGATCCCAACTGTCAGCCATGTCAGATCCCAACTTCCCAATAAGCGGTATCTTTCAATGAGTGCTGTTTTCATTTTCTAGTACCATCAAATTATCACAAATTTGTCAACTTAAAATAACACAAATTTATATTTCCCTATTTCTGTAGGTCATAAGTCTGGCAGTCTCAGCTAGACTTCCACTTATAGACTCCCAAGTCCAAAATCCCGGGCTGGGCTGCACTGTTTTTCTTTCTGAAGACTCTCGGGAAGAACGAGAGTCCTTACTTGTTTGGCAGACTTCAGTTCCTTGCAGGTGTAGCACTGAGGATTTTTTGCTGTCAGCAGAGGGCTATTTCTAGTTTTTAGAAGGTACTTGTATTTTTTGCTCATGGTCCCCTTCCTCTGTCTTCCAAGACAGCAAAAGAGACAGAGTGTTTCTCACATTTTGAATTTTCCTCTGTTCTTCTCTACTGCCACACAGCTGGCTGATTCTTTTACCTTTCTCTTCCACTTTAACTGGTGCATATGTTTACACTGGGCCACCCAGATGATCCAGTGTAATCTCCCCATCTCAGCTGGCATAACCTTTTGCAATGTAAAACAGCATACAAAGGCATGATGTCAGGTGTTAGGGGGTGGATGACTCTGAAGAGTCATTATTCTGCCACCACAAGGACTCTCCATTGTAACTCTCTCTAAATTTTGAGTACCAATTATACTAACTATAGATGAGGATTTTTGTCCTAGCTAATGTTCACTGTGTCAAGTTATTTGCTCAGTTTTGAAGTCATCATAATAGAATCTCATAAAAACACTGATCTCTACCAAAAATATTTCACCATAAACCTGAAATTAACTTCTTTGCAACCACCTATCACATAGAAACAAGTTCTTGGCTTGCTTTATAGGTTGCTGAAGATCTTCTCTTGCCCACCCTTTTCTCATAAAAAAGAACATTTTCTTGGAAACAGCCTTTCTTTGTCACATAATGAAAGCCTGGGCTTTACATATTACAGGGAGCCCAGGAGCTCATCCCACTGGCTCCTGCTTCTAGTGGATAGGTCCACCCACCTCTCTCCCCACCACTGTCTGATTTGCTTACATAGTGCAATAAGTTGATCTTGCATAGGTCAAAAGTTTGCCCATCCACTTTACACAAGATATTCTTTTATAGCTTCAGAAAATCCCCTATAACTTGCTCCCATTTATTTGTCTTTAATAAGTCATATGTCTTTATATATCTAAGGCTTAGTTCCCAGCTTGTCACTTCTGGGAAATGGTGGAAATTATCAGCCATGGACTCTAGTGAAGGTCTGGTCATTGGAAATGTGTACTTCACACTGATCATAGAGCCCTGGCTCTTTCATCTTTCTTTCTTCCTGTCTTCTGTGTCCCACTATGAGCTAAACAGCATTGCTGTGCCCCATGTTCCAGCCATGATGTGCCTCCATGGGTCCTAACCAGCAGGGCCAATCAGTCATGAACTAAGACCTACAACACTGCAAGCAAAAATAAACCTCTTCTCTATAGCTACTTTTTTCTGAGTTATTTGTTATAGTAGTGAAAAGATGACTACTACAACTCTCTAGCAGACAAATACCTAATGTCTACTGTATAATCTACATAAATTACATCTAGACATGTGTCTTTGTTTTGCTGTAACTAGTTATCTTTCTAAAATGGATGCTGCACTAACATGCTATTCTCAGATTAAGACACAATGGGAAAAGGTCTTCAAATAAAGGTAGTACCCAGTGGGCAGTGTATCCTGTAATTACTTTATAAACTGCTATGGAGAAGATTTTTTTCCTTATGATCTAAAATGGACAATTCTCTAGTTGCCTGAAAAATACTACCCTACATATGCAAACACACACAGATATAACCCCCAAAATTAAGAAAATAAGACTCCTCCGAAATAATGTCTGTGTAGATCATGATTATTTCTCTGGTAGTTCTTTGACAAAGGGAATGGTGAATAATCACAAAAGGTTGAAAAGATTGGGAAAGCCTTGACCTCATACAGAAAATACAGAGATAGATTACAGTCTGAGTATCTGCCTTCTATGCACCCATGGGAGACAGGAGGTCCTCACTCAGGATACCTGGGGACTGCTCTCACTGGGGTTTGCATGTGGGCGCCCCCTGCATGTGCCCTGTGCCGAGTGAGCGAGCACTCCAAGAGTTGCTGGTCCTGCAGTTTGAGTCTGTGCTTTACTTGCTCCCCGACTCCCTGAGGGGGTGCAGGCATGGACAGTCTGTGATTGCTCTTTGAGTCGCCCAGGTCTGGCTTCTACACACATCCTGAACTGACTAAGAAGCAGAACCAGGCAGGCTGCAACCAGCTCCCACCACGGTTCCCAGCTGAAAGTTACGGAGAGAGCCAGGTATTTCCCATCTATTTCCTGGGGGCAGAGTGGGTGACCCAGGACCCTGCCACCATTACAGTCTGAGTCTCTGCCCTCTGTGAACCAGCGGCAGACAGGAATGCTTCACTCAGAAGCCCCAGGGATTGCTCTCACTAGGGTTCACTCGTGGGCCCTCCCTGCATGTGCCCTGCACCGAGTGAGCGAGCACTCCAAGAGCTGCTGGTTCCACTGTTTGAGTCTGTGTTTTACTTGTGCCCCAACCCCCTGTACAGGCACAGGCACCGTCAGTCTTTGATTGCTGTCCATCCAGCCCACATCTGGCTCCTGTGTGTGTCCTGAACTGACTGGAGACACAGAATCAGGTGGTCCACAAACTGTTGACCCTGCAGTTTGGGACTGGATTTGGTCTGTACCCTGAACTGCCTGGGCACATAGGTCCACTGGACCAGGATTGTCACAACAGTGCAACCCGAGTCTGGGCTGTGCATGCATTCTGAACTGCAAAGGGACACTGGATCAGATGGTCTGCCATCAGCTGACACCAGTGCCCACATCTGAGACCTTGGATAACTAGATAAAAATCAACAAGTGCCAGAAAACCCCAGACTAAGTAGTGCTTCTCAGTGGACACTGAGAGGCAAACTTGACCAACAAGTTTGCCATTGCTGTGCAGCCATTGAAGAGGGACACTGAGCTTTCTGAGTTTTTGAAACTTTTTGAAACTGAGGTATCAAACATAACAAGACGAAGGACTAAAACACTATCCCAGGCTCCTTCCCACTCAGAACAAGCCCAGAAGACATTGACATAGGAAAACTTGGTAAACACATGCCTGAAATTGCTGAAATGATTGCAATGGAAGTAAAAAAACACCTCCATAAGGCCATAGAAGAGATGAGATCAGAAATAATCTCCCAGGCAAAAAATGAAATGACAGTAATAATGAAAGAACTGCTCAAAATGTCTGAAGAAGAAACATATAAGAAAATAGAAGAACAAAGGCAATGGATGGAAATGTTAAATGAAAAATATAGAAAGG